AGTCATTCGGAATATAAACAGCGCGTTCGACCACGGATTTAACGCCAATAAAAGCCGCAGACAAAAACGAGTGAGAAGCGACTGTGGTATTAACAAGCTGATCATTGGTCCCTGACGCTGGAATTGGGTATTAGGCTGTCTTTATTGGAAAATAAATGAAGCTCTTACGCGTCAAGCTGCCATAATTTTAGGCAATCCGGTCGTCGTTAAGAATGGAAATTAACATTTAAGTGGCAAGAAGAGGACGTTTCGTTTCAATCAGCCTTTACGGTCGAATATAATTTTAATTGAAAGTTTAAACGTTTCGTTTTTTGGATTACAACAGATTAAAAGTTACGAGTTCAAAGGCAAATATTTCGAAAGGCCCCAATTCAATTAATAATCAATTTTAATTGAGAAGGATTTGCCTCAAGCACGTTGTTTGTTCTCATAAATACGCTCACAAACATTGGAATTCGTGGGTGATTTTTCCCAGTTATTTTTGTCTCAATTTGCCCATGTAAAAGCAGAGGAAGTGACTAAAAAAATTGATTTGATTTTGCAGAGCAGTAACGGAAAAACATTTTATTTTCGGCTGTTGATTTTATTTAAAGTGATTTTTAAAATATTATTATTTCCAAAATATCGGAGTGGAGAATAAATAAATAAAAGTTAAGATCATCACAAACAGAGGAGTTTTCTTTAGAAAAATTTTATATGAATTGGTGGTGATTTAAATTTAATTTATTGTGTAAACTAATTCCCCATTTCTTTTTTAACTAAATTAATTTATTAACCTGAAAACAATATTTTTCTTTCACTATTTAAAAAAATCTCTTTGCATTAAAACTGTAATTTTAACCATGAAAACTAAGGCAACCGTATGCAAATTGTCCCTCTGTGATTCAAAGCGCAGGGTCGTGCACGCATGATTTGCGCTTTCAAGGACCTCGCATTCACCCCTATGTCCGCATTTGAGTTTCCGATTACCATCGGTCAGTTGCTCTCTTTTGATTCGTATATAGAACTTTGGGCGCGCGTGTTTGTCAAGATCGACTGAATGCTGCCGGTCGGCTTTCACAAAACTAACTCGGATCATCCTCCGCCGGCACACAAGTTGAGACCAACAAGTAAGAAAACAAACAGCCTTGCAATGCCTTCCCACGGGGGCCCTCGGTGAATTGCTGCGTCTTTCGAGCCAATTGTCAACCCCATCAGTTTAAATTCAAATGGGAAATGCGAGGCGGCACCTCATTTGCCTTGATGCACACATTAGACTGGCGCGCGAGGCAAGAACGCCGTGCGTACCGCCGAAATAATGAAATTTTAATTAAAAACGCGGTGTGTGTGACACTCTCTTGTTGCTGTAACGACACTTGCTGTCTTCCAAAGTTAGCGTAACACCTTCATTTCGCGACGAGAGAGAGCGAAGTTCGCGCCTGGATTAAAAGCCGGGCTGCCTACGTGCTCAGGCGCCTCCGGTAAAAAGTGAGAGAAGGACTTTATATTATGAACTACAAATTCCCCAACCCGGTGCAAAAGTGGGCGGGTTTAATTACGTTAAATTTTAATTTAGTCTCGCAGGTTTTCCAAAGTTTCTTCTTTGAGGAGCAAATTGCTTTTTATGCTCTGTTGTTTATGCAATATTCATCATCAAAAACGTAGCGTACAGTTTCGTGTACAATTATTAATTAATATTGCACGCATCCAGCCGTTTGTGTTTATCAAAATACATAATTTAGAGCGTGGATAACGTGAATCGAGAGGTGAAGGACTGTGTTAATCAACAATAACATGTCCGTTTTATTGAATCAATTGAAATATTTAAAGAGCAGCGATGTGATGATAATTTATACATAATATTGTCAATCAGAATAAATTTTTTAGCTTGATTAATACAAGGGCTCAAAATTCAATAATAATGCTATACTTAAATTAATTATCTTCTTTTCCCTTACAATTAAAATCATAAATTGCATCCTCTTTATTGGAGGTTAGATCATAATATATATTTATTACACAGGCTTTAGAGAAAGATAATTTACAACAATTTGTAGATAAACATGAATTTGAAACTTATATGATTCTGATGTTAATATACTCAATTAATATATAAATATATTTAGATTAAAAATTGGCCATTTTCCCAACAAATGGTTTTAAATCATAATAAGGTTAAAAAAATTTCAAGCGCACACAAAAAATAAAAATTAAATGAAGTATAAAACAGTATAAATTTATATATTAAAATCAAAAAGATTAAATTTGTAGTAAAATAAATATAGATATTTCAAATAGCATTAATAATATTATTTTATATTAGCAGTCATCTCAATTTGCTGTCACAATCTGTATAATTACACAAAGGGTTCCTCCTCTATTTTATGAAGATTAAAAATTTACTACTTGTGTTAATTCTTCATTTTCTTTTACATTTTACCACAATTTTTATAGACTTGGCAAACAAATATGACGAAACCTCATCTCCTCGTTTTTTTTTTCTATTTTAGTGTTCACATTTGATTCTGAAAGATCAGACGGAAAGTCATCAAAATTTCAACACATTCAACGTCTCTCAAACGAATTGGGTCCTGTGCGTCGGTATCCGCACGAGCAAACCAACTTTGCTCGAATATTGGCTTAGAGTCCTAAGCCCGTGACGCGGGTAACGACAACCGCCGCCTCCGCTTCACAGAGACCACCTCGCAAATCCCATTTATTGGGAAAATTTACATCTCCGGCATTACCCGCGGAAAATACACTAAAGCCTAGTTTGCGAAAATTCTGCGCCCTTTTATAATTCATTGGCATTAAAAGTTCACTGAGAACGAGACCTTGGCCCGAATATGCATAAAAAGCCAAAGACTCCTCTTGGCACAGCTATAAATAGCGCAGGTTGTGTTTGAATAAGAGCCTGAGAGAGCACAGTGGATACACATCTGAGCCGAGAGAGATTCGAATGTGTTTATTTGAATTTGGAATGGTGTGCCAACAGATCGCATAATCTGCAAGGAGGAAAACACAAAATTTATATCTGGAATTCGTCGTCTGTGAATAATTTCGTAAAGTTTTTACTTCTCTTTCCACACTTTATGTTTATATTTTGGAGCGGTTTTAGTTTGGGGTGCAGGCACGCAATATTGATCATTTCAATGAATCGCGCGCCTCACCCCGGCCAATATTAGCTTATGCATATGGGCCTTGTGTTTGCCAGTCTTAATGACTCGCATGTACAGTCGAGTGGTTGAACTGCAGCCTCGCTTTTGTCTCTTTGCGAGCAGTAAATGAGTCACAAGTCGTTAAAGACGGCGGAACAATGAGAAATGAATTTAAATGGTGACGAGGAAACGGCGTCTTGAACGTTTGGCGCAAAAAACTTTTACATTATAGCAACTGGTTTCGAGGAGGGACAAAAAGCTTTTAAATAATCTTGCGAATTTCCCATTGTATGTCACCAAGTTTTAGAATTTAAAAATCGTAATTGCAGCTTCGCTTTTCCATCCAAATAAGTAATTCACTCTTTGCCTTAATTTAGGAGTTTTGATCAAAGTTTTGATTTTCGAAAGGCAAAAAGAAAAAAAATCTGCTGGCAGAGAATTGATTTTTGCTTAGTTCAAATTTTTCCAATAAATGTCTGATCAAAAAAAAATTTATTTTTCATGATCATTCGCACGGTTTCAGTAACCACGTAAAAATCGGTTTAAAAACATTATTTCTAGTTTTTAATTCCCGAGAACGTCCGATCAACAATTAATATAACTATTTCTTTATATTTTTACTAACAAAATTCACTCCCAGTTTAATTTTTAAATCAGTCTTACAAAATATTTTTTTTCTGTAATTTGTTGTTAGGAAAAGAGGAATTTATATTTAAATACAAATTAAGGAATTTTGTGGCGACCTTACTTGCAAACGGCCAAAAGTACAAATAGTATTTTTTGCCCTAATTTTGATCCCCAAAAATATAATAGTTTCTAATTTTTTTTGCTTTACACCTAAAAAGTGGTGAACTATAAGAAGAGGATTGTGATTGACAAAAAAAATCCAGCATACTACATTCATGACTCCTTTCATGTTAAGTTCCAGAAGAGAGATGTTTAATAACAATGCGTTGCTGCAAAGGTAGCTCAATACCCAGACTTGAAGTTGTGAGATGCCAGAGTGACTTGTTTGATAACATTTGGTATAGAATGCGTGTACATTTATTAAAAAGCATTACCCCAAATAAAAATATCACATTTTATATTAGTAATTGACCTCTTTTAATTGTAATGAGTTTCAATTAGTTTTAATATATTGGTATTTACTACACTCTGCGGTGTCATTGCTCGCTGCATGTTCACAATGCACTTCATGGAATGCAACTTGCAGCATTTCATTGTTGCATGTGCCAGTTGTAGGAAACCACAATGAATGGGCGCAACCAATAAACTATTTTGCCAGCCACATTTAGCGTGAGGTTATAACTAGGACAAATCCCTAATTAATTTGCAAGTTTAATATCAGTATTGCAAATCAATCATGCGATCAAAATACATTTTAATGCATATACGAGGAAAATCATTAATTTAGTCTTTATTATTAATTAATAATTATGCTACTAATTGTGAGCTAAAGCAAGTGGCACTTCTGTCAGTTTTTTTTAGCAAACTTTTGCAAAAACAAAATTATAAATGAAATTAATAACAAAAATTACTTCCATGAATATAAGCATTACTTATAAATCTCTCAGTTTCAATTATTTGATCAATTTGTAAACTATCATATTTATTAAAATGCAATTTTTTTTATCTTCTTTGTTTTATTTTGCTTTGGTGGCATAAATTACATTTAAAAATTTAATATTCATTATTTCTTCACTTTTACCATTAAATTACTACAAACCCCTAGTTAATCGTCAAGCTTTATGCAATTTATAAAAATTCTTGAAACTAGTTTCTTTACGCATAAAAACGCCGCGCGCAAATTTGCCGCGCGCTTTTTAGCATAATCGGAAAGAAAAACAAATCTCTCGAACCTACCTGACAACTCGACGACTCGGCAGCTCGGGAATTTGTAATCCAAAAATAATCCGCACGAGCGGGCACTGAGCACGTCTTTGGAGAGAGCACTGGCAGCAGTAAAGTTTTGCTTAATTTTGTGAGGAGAGAAGAGTTGGAGCAAACGCGACCGAAGAAGTGTTTTGGGCCGAGGCTGGAACGAGACTGGCCACGCCGGTTCGCCGAGGGTGGTTCGTTCGTTCGCCTGCTCGGGAGCCAACGGTGCGCGCGCGTCTCTCTCTTCTCAAAGTCGGTGGCGAACACTCTCTCGATCTCTGCTCCCGTCTTACACTCGCGGGGCCCGACTAATTGGGATGCTCTCGACTTTGCCGGCTGAGGTATGCAACCGGCCGCACACGGCCCTTTGTTGCGTCCGCCGCTGATAACACGGCGGTTTGAAATTTCCTACGGCGGCTAATGAGATACAGTTTTCTGCCCCCGTCCGTATAATAATACGCGTTATCAACTTGACAATGGCGCCCGCACACTTTTAAGTATTTGTGTGCGCCCGCGGTGGAAGTTTTTAAAGGGGTTTCTATGGAAATAATGCGCACAAAAAGTCGCCGGAGAAAGAACGTAGTTTCTAATTTTGCACACTTCAGAGGTTTTGTTTGTAAAACATCGGATGCGGTGCGTCTTGGAGCAAATTTAATATTAATATAATGCCTTGCATAACAAGCAACAAAAAATTTCACCGGCACAATGAAATTTTGTATGTAATATTTATTTTTACATTATTTACGACCGCTCCCTTTTCATTCCAAAGTGTGAAAACTTTTAGCGCGAACAGCAATTTAATATTTTATGTTGCCAATTACTTCTTATTTTCTGTTGTTTCACTTTTTTTGGAAAAAATCTCTTTTCTTATTTAGGAACGAATTTTCTCTAAAAATAAACGATAACAATTTTGCCAGGAGAGTCTTCAAAAATCATTACAAACTCACTGAATGAACGTTTTCTTTTTTTTTATCCCCTCCCTCCAGCGGTAGCAGACAAGACCTGCTAAATCGAAAGAGCCGATAACAAAGTGACCTTGAGCCTTGAGACCCACTGGGCCAGGGAGAAAGGAGAATAGGATGAGTTTGCTTTTGTTAGGAATTTGAAGAGGATGAGGAAGACGAGCGGTTGCAGCCTATGAATGTGAACTATGCTGGCATTCGCCTGGAATGTCCAATGGAAACCGCAGAAAACACCAAAAATTCCAGACGATGTGCAATTCCTCTTGAATCTGCCTGTAGTAGTGATCTTATGATTTCCTGAAGTCTTGTGAACTAATTATTAAATCGTTTTAATTTCGTATTTTGACGTAATGAAAAAACAAAATTGACAAAATTGCGCTAAAATATGTGCTACATGCAATAAAACAACGTTTTTTTTTTTAATTTACACCACCCAGCTGAAGTAAGAAAATATTAAAATTCATGCACAAATCTAATATTCAATGAAACTTAAATTCACAATGTTATTTTTAAATATATTTTATTCATAAGCACGATTCTCCAGATTTTTTTTTTTTTTTTTGAAAATCCAATTGGTTTGAATAATTTATATCCCTGTCAGGAAAGAAATATGACAATGAGATCAATTCTTCAAATAAATATTAATGAAAAAGGGAGTAAATGAAAAGTTGACAATGCTTCTCTAGCTCGGAAATTGTAGCTCTCGCCCTTTGGCTTTATTCAGAACACGCTTTATTTATAAATATATATTATTCTGCACAAGCAGAAGTTGCGTGTGCCGTCTGCTCCGTCCCAGCATTCGCCAATGAGATTTCCATATTTTGGCTTTAATTAATCTGCAGCCACAAGGTATGCTAATTACTTAATAAGAACCGCTCGCGAGGCGGAATTGTAGCCATCGGCTTTATGTACGCGTCGACTCTGAATGTTGCTACGTCTTAATCCGTGCCCCATGCAAATTGGGCTTACAATTAGTTTTACTGCGTCGGTAAAGCGACTTTAATTTAAGGCTGGGAGGTGTGACGAATAATTGGAATTAATGGAGTTTTTTATTATTTTATTTAAATAGCACGTTTTTTTAAGACAACCCCTGTCGGCTGATTGAAACACAAATGTAGAAAAATAAGAGATTTATTCAAGTTTAATAAAGAAAAATTTGGGGGGGGGGGGTTAAAGAATCAAACAATTTTGTAGTCAGATTTGCCCGACTTGAATGTCAAATATAAATAAAATTCTCCGTCAGCAGACAATTTTTTTAGTCACAAATTTTCAAATTAAATTATTTAATAGGGCTAAACGGCATCACAATTATCAAAACTGATTCCACAATTAATTAAAAATTGTTATAAAAAAGAAAAATATAAAAAATCAAATCGTTATTTTATCAATCAGACTTACCAAATAATTACACTATATTTTTTTAATTGCTTCAAGAAATAATTGGTTTTCGTGTAAATAAATTTTAATTTTTTTCCACCCCCTTTACAAGCCATATTATATAATGTGCTGTTAATGTAAAAACGCAGCCCTTCTGTATTTCTGATGTCATTTTGTGGGAACGAAAAATTTGCAAGCCAACTTGCAGCCACCAGCGTTAATCTCTTTCAGGGCATTAAGTTGTCACTTTTTATTTGCGCGTGTTTATTAAGCAGGGCAAAGTTAGCCAGGCCGGAGGCGGCCGCGGAGAGGAAAAACAGCATAAATTGGAAAATCTCATCGGCATAGACGGGCACAAAAATAAACAAGCAGGGGCGGAACAAACAGAGTGCGAGCGCGTGGGCAAAAGCAAAGTCACTCTTTCTTTTTCAGCTCCGGAGCGTTAGATTTTATGTGCGTGCCCAATCTAGGAAATAAGCAGCGGGAAAATACATTTGGAACAAACCCTTGGGGTTAGGCGAGTGACATCCAGATGAGGCCATGCCGGCCTTTGAAAGAGTGCCCTGGTTCGAGCAAGAGGTTTTTATCAGCTACGGATTTATTTCTTTTTATTATCCTTGTGTTCCAACATCTCTTCCTTGCTGTACCAAGAATTAAAATTTCACGTCTTATACAGAAATTTTTGGAAAGGCGATTTTCAAACCAAAGTGATCATTATATTTTCCATAAAAATTCAGGCACATGAGCTCAAATTTCAAGATCTGGAAAAATTTATTTTTCCTTCCTCACAATATTTTTTTCTCTATATCTACAATTTTATTCTTATTGTTCAAATTTATTCAAATTATATCCAAAACCATGAACACATCTATCAATTTTTCTCTCACTTAAAATACCAAGAACAACGACAACAGCTGAAATACATTTTATGTACTGACCAAAATTGGTTGAATGTAATAGATCTTCATTTTTATATATTACACGGTGTTTGTTTTAAAAGTTTATTCTTTTAGAAGCAATAAAGCAAATTTTTTTTATAGTCATAAGAAACAAAAACTGTTAAATAAAAAATAAATTTTTAAATTTTAAAATTAATTCAAATATTTTTTTTTGCATTTCATTAAAATTAAAAATAAAACTATAGTAAAAATATTTATTATTTAAATTAGAAATTTTGCCCGCACAGCATTTTTTTATTTAAAATCTTCATAGATTGGAAATTTTAAGTTACAATGTTTCAATCGTGATAAGTCTCTGTCAAATGCGTTGATTTAAAAACAATGCAATAAATTTAATGAAGTTTATTCTTAGTGAGTCTGCTGATGGATTTAATACATAAATAAAATATTATTAGTTTACTTTTTATTGTTTGCCTTTGTTTTTCAGTGACTATAAAATAAACATGCATGAATTAATTTTAATTCCAAGGCGCACAAATATGCAGTAATAAAATTTAAAGAAGCAAATTGTATGCTCAAAATTATTTTAACAGTAAAACCAAACACATCAATTAGTTATCTTTCATTATTGAATGTGAATCAAATAAAGACTAAATTAAAAATAATTTGATTCAAATTTTTTTAAATTAAAAATTATCACAATGTTAAATTTCATTTCATAATTTTTACTGTCATTTTAGTTGGGTGATTTATTGTTCGAGGTAACTACAAAATAAAACATCACGCAGCTACAAAAAATGGCAGCCGTACTGCTGTGCTGCGCGTCTACTTCACTGCAAATTTTTATATATGGAAAAAGCAGAAGTGGATAAAAAGACTTTCAAAAAGCGATTTACGAGCGCACACTTTTAACAAAATCCCGCTTACCGAGAGCCGAGCTGGATTTCGGCTTTCCAGCCAGCCAGGGCTTATGCACCCTGCAAACAACCCCTGTATGCTTGAATTATAAAAGACCCCTTGACTCAGCATCCCGGCCGGCGAAACAAAAGCAACCACTGCGTCGGTACTTTGCGTATGTATCGCCACAGTGGTGGTGCCGCCGCCGCCGCCTGTTCTCCAAAAACACTCTTCTGTGTACACAAATAATATAGGGCTGCGGCCAAGGAGAGGCGAAATAATTAGGCGAGATTTCGCGCGACTTGCGTTGTTTGGCAAACGCTCAATTCGGTTAACCAAATTAGCGACGCAGATGATTCGCATCGGAAAAGCAGCAAAGGCAATATCGTAAAAAAAGAAGGACTTGCAAAGAACTGCTGTCACTTTCGGTAGGGCCAGCCAGTCTCTTTTCCTGCTCCACTTCCTGTCGGCACAAAGCCAAGAAAACCGCTCCACGAAATGCACGAGCAATATTTTTTATTTAAATATATCCGCCTGCCGAGTTTCGCGCTCTCCGTGTTTTTTTGCCAAAGCTTTATTTGCGTTATACTCGGGGCCCAAATTACGGCACGGAACACACACAAGGATGTGCTGACGCGCACTCCAAGTGGCTCATGTGTGTCCTCCACAGACAGTGCCCCTCGCTGCTGGCGTCGCTTTTAACCCTCGCAGTCAGAGTGAAGATCTTTCGGGGAGGCTATACCAGTTCGAGCGAGATTAATTTGACTGCCATTAGTGGCTTTCAAACCCCGCCTGCCAGAAACTTTTCTCGAAAAAAAAAAACTCTTCTCGCTGCGGGCAGATGCACTGATTTGTGAAAGCGAAATTGTCTGTCAGGGTCTTAGCAGAAACTTTTTTCTCGAGATAACTGTGATTAGGAATGGGGGAAAGATGATCACTTATTTTACCATTTCACTCTGTAAAAAGATGCTAAAAAGTTTTAGAATTTTACTATTTAATGTTAATTTGAAACTTCCAGATATCAATTAATTAGTGAAAATACTGGAATTGA